GAGAGAGAGAGAGAGAGAGAGAGAGAGAGAGAGAGAGAGACAGAGAGAGAGAGAGAGAGAGAGAGAGAGAGAGAGAGAGAGAGAGAGAGAGAGAGAGAGAGAGAGAGAGAGAGAGAGAGAGAGAGAGAGAGAGAGAGAGCCTAGGACTAGGCTGACTAGTACATAGGCCTATATTACGACATAGTTAATAGAGGAGATGGTTTGGAAACTCATTAGCATTACAATAAACCTCACTATCTATGTTTTTGTTCAGGTTTATGCAAAAATGTGGTCTTTCATCGTCACGTGCATATTGTATTTTTGCTCAACCAGCCAATAGCAACGGTTTTAATTTGTCCAATTGCCCATCCATGACTTTAACAATAGGACATTTTGAACATTCCTATTGGTTGACTTGAGAAAAATACAATACGCACGTGTCGATGAAAGACCACATTTTTGCATACTGCCTGAACAACATAGATAATGAGGTTTAATTGTGATTTTATTGTAATGCTAACGAGTTTCCAGACCATCTCCTCTATTAACTATGATTACGAGAAGCTTATATTTGCTTGTCGTGGGCTCAATATTTGCATATTACCAGTCATTGAACAGTGATTAATCCACCTAAACAATGCCTGAGCGATCATGCCTGTAAAATAATGCGACAGACAAATACGAGTATGTTCTTAGTCGTTAGAGCATTGACAATCCAGAAGACATCTGGATTGTCTACATATGCATGGTTAGAGTTAGTACACGTTGAGGATTAATTAGTTTATTTTTGCGAGATATTTTGAAATTCTATTTTTTGTGGATATCTAAAGCAAAGCCATTAACAGTTGTTAAAGGATGATTACAAACCATGCAACCATAGTGAATAAATGGGAAGATTCAAGATTGCCTTAAAATCGGGCGGGAGCGTATTTTTGAGGGCATAAATCAACAACACACAATAATTTAGTTTTAAACACATTTATTTCTTCGAATTATTACAAAACTAACAAGGTGTGCTTCTAAGAGCCTATCGTTTAGGTGTCTTTTGTATCTTTAAAGAATTCTCATATTATTGCCCTGTCTTCTGGGGCCGGTTGTATAAAACTCTTAATCACTTTTTTAATCACTATTTTGTAGTTAAATTGTGGTTAACTTTAATCACGTAGTTAACTCGGTTGTATAAAAAAGTGAACGTAGTTAAAGTTAACGATGCTTTAGGGTATCGTTAACTTCTCAAAACGTAGTTAAAAATGGCGCTTGTATAGGAGGGAACAACATTTTTCAGTAAAACAACAACGAAAAGTAATGCTTACCTGGGATTTTCAGTCGCTATCTTCCCTGTGAATGTTTTCTGACAATATAAACTCTTCAAACGCTATCGCTTTGGTTTTTCTGCGAAAACAAAATATATTTTTGCACGGGAAGATTTCTCGAAAATGACGTAGGGCCCAGTACACGAAGAAACATGATATATATTTGCCAAACAGTTACACTTTGGTTTAACGTAGACATCTCAAGTAAAAATGGTTGATTCTTCGTTGATTTTTTCCTTGTTTTCTAGTACACGCGTAAAAATCATCATGTTGATGCAAGTTGTTCAAAACAGGAGCGAACAATGTTGTGCTGCACCCCGTGAACAATATTGTTAACAAGTTGTTGAACCATCAACATTGTTGCAACTTGTTGACAATCATGTTAACAACTTGCAACAGTACTGATGGTTGAACAACTTGTTAACAATATTGTTCACGGGGTGCAGCACAACATTGTTCACTCCTGTTTGAACAACGCCGAACAACCTGATCAATTTTTACCCGTGTATGTTTCTCACTGTTTTCAATAAAATTCTCACCTATTTGCCGCAAAATGAGAGTCCACAATCATGCTAAAAATGCTTGTCAGCGGTCGTTAATCGCTGCTTACTTTATGTAATTTTGTGTTTAAAACGCCCCACGCAAGCCCCACGCAGGTTAACTACGTGATTAAGCCTGGCGCACACGATGCGATTTTAGTCGGCCGATAAAAATCGCCTGTGTGTGCGGTGTCATTTTTAACCGATTTTTGTTCGTATCAAAACGTTTTGATATTATACGATTTTTATCGGTGGAATTTTAAGTATAACCAATCAGATTTCATGCTGTGATCACGTGCTTGATCACCGGCTACAGTTCAATCGTGTGCGGAGTATACCGATGTATATCGGTATGTCACA